GCCTTAGGTCTAGACGCCTTGAATTGCTTGGGAGCTCTTAATAATCTTAACCTCCTGGGTGTGGACCAGGATACGCACGTCAATCAAAATTGTGGTCACCACCGTCCTAGTGGTTGTGGTCACCATCCACATCGCCACCATCGCCATTAAATTCGTTCATTTGTGATGCGTTAATGTGTATTTATTTTATTTATTTCAATGATTAATATTATTTAACAAAAAAATTTATATGTATGAGAAGAATGCTAAATATTTGAAAAGAACAGACTTATTAAAAAGACCCATTTAATATCTGAAAATGTTAACCTATTTTAAAGTATTTGAATTCATAAATATATAATGAACACAATTTAATTAACCACCCTAATGATAGGAAAAATATTAATACAGTCGTTGCTAACTATTTGTAGTAATATAAAAACATTGATTTTCATTTTACTTGTTTTAATTAATTTAATATTCAGAAAATGTTGTACATCATGGTCATTAATATATTAGAAAAATTGTACTTATTTTCTAGTATAAACGTATTAATTCTTTTTTTGTTAACGACTTCATCAAAATCTCTTTAACAAAATAATCAACTAATGTAAAGAAAAACATACATTTTATTCATAGGATTAAATATGAACAAAGAGATTACCTAAAATAACGTGTCACATAAAACTATGTAGTGTATATCCTTCACTTGAACAGGAAACATTATGTTGGCCACGAATTTAAAAGCTTTATCGTTGAGTATACGCATAAGCATGCACTATTTATTTGGGGGAAGTCCGCTTACAAATGTTTTTCTTAACATTTTCTATATATTCAGCGTGACTACAATTTATTGCGGAAATTTTGGCCATCTATACAAAATGTTTCAAAACGGAATATCGTTTGGAAATGTTTCTCATAATATAGCCATTCTTATATCTGCATCTTATGCGTACTTTGTGCTGTATGCTTTCAAAAGTAACAAGAAAAACATGGCTAAGGTTTTAGATAGAATGGAGAACAATCCATATCTTAGCTTTCAACATTTCAAACTATTACGAATGGCACATCGCCTTAATAATGCACAAAAATTTGTTTATGGATATTTGTTCATAATTGAGGTACTTGCGCTGCTAATTGTTGAATTTCAAGATTGTGACCAGGATTTACAACCATATACTTGCGGTTATATTGTGCCTACAGTGTGTAAACGATTTTGAATTCCATTCAAGTATAACTTAACTTTTCATTCATTTTAGTATTTTTTCATTGATGATGTAAAACATTCTTATAGACTGTTTTATAATATATTATTATTGGCTAACATTTTATACGTGGGAGGTGCAACAATATCGGCCATGTTTGCGATATTCTTTGCGTTCAGATATACACAAATTTTCTTTGAAGTCTTTGAATCAATCTTATTGGAAGCTAAGCGAACAAGAAATAAAACCATTCGACAACAGAAGCTACTATTAGCCTATAAACACCACATGTACATGATAGGGTAGGTATACAAATACAATTCTCTCATTTCAATATTCTAATTGTGTTAATTTTTCAGCTTATGGCAATCCTGGGTTGCAGTCTATAAATGGCCTCTTCTGGTGCAATTCCTAATGAGTGGGGTGGTAGTCGCATTGGATCTCATTACGGAATTGATTGTATATAAAAGTTTATACATTTTTGTGCTTATAAATAATAATAATTGTTTTAGAAATTTGACATGCTTTCAGTTGCTCATCTTCTTTGCTTCGTTACAGGAACCTCATTAATGGGCTGGATTGGTGAGGAAATGATTGAATTGGTAAGCATTTTACTAACAAAAAAATGAAATTATTACCTTTGTGATATTTGGATGTCTATTTTTGAATGTTTAGGGTAACAAGTTCAGAGACTCATTGTTTTACGCTATTCCTTGGGATGGAGATGTTAAAAATGCAAGATTCCTGATGTTTATGCACTTAAACTCATATAATGGTATTACTGTATCACTAGGGAATTACGCCGCATATTCAAATGAGCTCGTACTTAATGTAAGCCAATTTTTATTAATTTCTTACTGCCAAATGTTTGTGTTGTTTGTTTTGACTCCTATAATTCATCTTTAAGTTGAATAGTTGAAAAGTCTGAAACCTTTTTGAAGCAAACAGCACAAATATTATCTTAAAATGTTCCAACCAAAACATTTTACTTATTTTTACAGGTGTTTAAATTGTCATATTCTATAGTTACGTTGTACATGAATTTAAATAAATAAATGACTTAATTGTCATGAAGTGGGATCTTCAGCTACTTCAGCAACTCTAGGACAACTAAAAGGCTCAAAACGAGACTCTTCTACAAACTGCACACTAAGGAAAAGTGCACAATAATGGCCTAATGACCTAAGTCATATTTTAAGTGTTTCAGCTTCAGTGTTTTATTTGACGCGCTAATTTGTATTTAAAATATCACAAAACTATGAAATAGCAAAATTTGACTCAACAATCCATATAGGAAAAAAGTATATAAAAAAAACTTAATATTTAACAATTTTGCCTTAATGTTTACATGTTGTATGGTTTTGAATGAATGTATGTATCATGACAACAAATAACAGCCACAGTAAAACAAAAACACAAATATTTTTATTTAATTTACATCGTTATCAATGGCATATATTAATAGCATCCTTTCCACTTTTCTCTTGAATATCTGGGCTAGTATAAAAGGTTTTGCAAAAAAGCAATTAGTTATATCTCGTTTAACTGATTGAATCAAAGATACAACATGAATTCCTTACTTTGCTTTGTTGCTATCATAGCTGCCACCAGCATGAGTCTTCAGTGGGGTAAATATATAAAGTTATAATTTTATATTTTAATATTGATATACTCGTAATGGCATATTTTTGTTCCAGTCGATGCCAGGCCAGGAGGAGATACCGGTGGTGCTGTAGTAGCTGATCTCCTCGGTGGTCTTGGACTTCTCGACGATGCCAACATCTTAGGTGTGCGGCAGACGGTACACCACAATCATAATGACTGTGATGACCACCATCATCATAATTCTTGTGATGATGACTGTGACAACGATTGTGACAATGATTGCGACAGCGATTGTGACAACGATTGCGACGACGATTGTGACGATCACCATCACCATCATCATCATCATCATAACCCTTGTGATGATGACTGTGATCATCACCACCACCACCACCATCATCAATGTTAAAGAAAATGGTGGAAAAGTTTTGAGACTTTTGCCCTTATCTATTTATTCTAATTTATTTTATCAATTGTAGCCAGAATTTGTATCAATACCTTGAAATTATCAACATATTTATTACTGCTAAATTAAAACAATAATTTTTTCAAGAATGGTTTTATAATATTAATTAAATTGGACTAAGGATTTCACATTTCTAATGATCACAAAGTGTTAAAAATGTGTCAAATCCTACTTACAACTGCTCTAAATTCCTATTAAGTTAAATTGTCATAAACTACTCCACAAACTACCATTTTCCGTAAATTTGTAAATGCAATCATAGTAAATGTTATTTAATTTAGTTGCACATTGCTTGAGGCATTTAACAATTCTCCATTCAACATAGTCACCGTGAGTAGGTACAAGGCGTGACTTCTTGGAACTCCGTACACTTCCTTGTTAACAGCGAAGAAACCAAGTACCCACCTATTTAAAACTATTTAAAATTTAATGTGAACTAATAGACTAGTGTGTAATAATAAAACTAGTAATTATTTTAACGGCAAACTATATTCCACATAAATTTTAATAACTGTTATAAATCTCACACCATTGAAATTCAGTGCGTCGATTGATTACCACGTCTCGTTTAATTTGTTTATGTCACGCGCAATAGATAAATTTCTGCCGATGTGCAATAACATTCCATAATATTATTCAACTTGCATTAAACCGAACAAAATTTTAATGTTTTATAGTTGGCATGCACGGATATTACTCTCAGTAGCAATAACTGTGATTATTCGTTGTGCCAAATTGTAATAAACATTTGTATTATACATGTAAAGTGCGGCAAAGGTGTAACCGACGGAATGCTAATTGGCCTACCATATTAGTCTTCTATTAGCTGTTAGTTTGCAAGTTTAGCCCACGCCATTAAACGATTGTTGTGAATGCTAGTATGAAAAAACAATGGATTAAAAATATGAGTGACAGCATTATCGATGGCAGTTGTTCGGAAGCAACGATGCGGCGATGGCTGCGATCGAGAAAGTCGCAAATACCGGAACAGACTTTTCGGGAGATTCCGGTTATAGTGGTGGATGCAGGCTCTAGTGCTAGTGAATCAACAACTTCGAGCAGAAGTAATGTGTGTCGGGGAAAAGAAGATAAGGAGTTATTATCACCAAAAGATGCGGAAAGGTATAGATCAAAGGCAATACGGAAGAATAGCATTTCTTTACCAAATTTGGATGATTTTGAACAGGTAAGTGAAGAAATTTTGTTCCTAGGTGCATTGTTATTATAACCTGTTTTCACGGATACCCGCTGCTCACATGACCACGCGCGACCTATCAGGTAACAACGGCTTACCCCCATCAATTTTTACGGGTCGTTCGCAAGTATAAAAGAGCAGCTCGCAGTGCGCTCAGTCGTACAGGACAACAGTAGCAGGTCTTAGGCTTCCCTACATTTGCCGTAAATTTTTTCGTCCATGATTTTAAAAGCATCAGCCCACTAAATTGGACTTATAAGGGAACGTTGTATACACTATGTTACAATTTAAAGAGTGTCTATGGGAATATGCCACCTTTAGTTTAATAAACGAAACAACATATTTACTGACATCGTACCTCTAACAACCAAATCGAAGACTTTGATCTTTGATCGTGTTTTGACAACAAGTCAACAACTTGTTATAATGATGCGAGATTAGTGCTTTGCATAAATATGTGAAATGTCTATTACTATACCCACGGTTGTGACAAAAAATTCGCATGTCTTGACCGCCACTCAGCTAGAATTAATATATTTTCACTCATGAATGCCAATTCTTTAACTTTTTTATTTATTTCACTGCATACTTATACTACAGTATGAATAAATAAATTTATGTTTAGTGAAAGAGATTAAAGAATATAAATTATCGACAAAACTTATAAAACTATCATCATACATAAAATTAAAAAGTATTTCCTCATACACAGTCAATATCTGTTGGATGCTCAGTCAATATCTAACCTTAAATTTTAAATCAGTTGTATAAGTATCACACAAAAAAAACGTATAAATCGTTTAACAGTATAAATCAATTTATCGCGGTAATTTCTTCTTCTCATGCAACTTGGCGGCCTTTTTCTTCATGTTTTGAAGCCTCTTATCCGCACTTACAATAGAACTGCTTGTAGTAACTGGTGTATGCTTTGAGGATGAACTTTTACTTGCTGATGAAGATGATTTGCTTCCACTGCTACTACTTGATCCACTTTTGGAACCAGATTTGGATGAGCTTGATTTGTATCCACTACTTGAACTCCTGTCACCTTTTTCACTTCTATCACCCTTGTCACTTGGGTGCCTTGGTGAGTTAGAACTGCTCTTTGGTTTAGAGGAAATATGTGTAGATGATGAAGAGGAAGAATGTGTAGGACTCTTCTTTGCTTTTCTAATTTCCTTACAACTGGCACAAACCCATGCATTATCTGCCTCCTGTTGGGTAACAGAAGGTTGATGGCATTCTTGATGGTAAAGGGCATGACAGTCAGAGCATTCAAGTAATCGATTACGAGCCCCAACATCCATACCCTGACAAATCACACAAGCCAAGTCTTCTTTTAGTAACAAGTCTAATTCCAATTCATTATCAGAAGTGGAGGTTGCCTTGGCATCATCCATAGCAGTACTTAGCATCTCTACACCTGATTGTCTCATCAGAGATTGCACCATAGCTGTAAGGTTGCAATCTTTGCCTGTTTTACTTTTAATTGCCTCTTCAAGATACGTCTGCAGCGATGGTTTACTGTTGAGTAGGTGGTCTTTGGAGTGTAGTGCATTTATTGATTTTAAATAAGAAGCGTCTAGTTCCGCGAGTGCACTCATTATTGTAAGTTTGTAGAAATTTTTAACACAATATGCGCTTTTAGTTTGAGAGGTTACCTATATGTTTTGGTTAGCAAGCGTATACAGTCGTATACTGAGAGAATCTATCTAGATACAGATATAAAAACCTAACACTACTTACTTTGTTCCTCTATAAAGTTCTAATTAACGAATAAGAATTAAACAATGAAAATACCTGCAAATATAGATATAATTTTCAAAGTATTGGTAAAGATGTGCTTTTGAATTATACTCAGATATTTTAACCGTTAAACTTTAGAAGATGATTAAAAGTCACCGCGATGTCCTTTTATAGCTACCACCAGTTTAAGATCATTTTCCCGTCTCTGAATTATTAATTAATGGATTTATCCGTAATTTGAGTGCACCACAACAAATAATAAGTTGTTGTATAGGTTATAAGTTTGAATTTCAAACTGACCCAAACGATCTTCACTCTGCCGTCTAATTGGCCAACAAAGTCGGCCATCATGGGTTTTTGTGACGTCAGAGTTCTAAATCTATAATGGCTGCTTTTTGCAGCATTTTTATTGACGGTTGCTAAACGCACTAGTTCATAAAATTCTCGTTTGCAAACATTCACAATCGTCTTTACTACCCGAAGTTTTAGTATTTTAAGTATAAAGTGGCTAAACGGACCTTGCCGCGCCGCGCCGACACGAGCAGTACCAGCGCATGCTTTGATTGTTTGACTGACGCACTGCATGGCATATGGTTATGTGCTGCACCGCAGGCAAATGCGCAGGCGCAAGCTCCACCTCGTGACTAAAGCCTGTGACTTGGCACTTTGGTGACGGCTTCGGCCGTTTGTGTATAAAGTGCCACTTTTTGTGCTTTAATGGTGGAAGTAGAAACATTTATTAATGCACAGCCTTATTTACCATAATAAAACCTGAAAGCGCAAAGAAAAAACAATAAATCAATAAATACATGCAATGGTTTAAATTACAACTTTTTTAAATTTAAATTTTATTTCAAATTCTTTTTATTTCTTATTTACAATACAAATCTTGCTTAAAAATCGTAAAATTAATTACACAACACACCTGTAGATGTTGATGGCAACTCATCACACGAATCAACCTTAAAAACTCACACATTCACACTTTGAACCTGTTTGTCCTTGTCCCTACTAACATTCCCACAACAAAACGTGTTGTAGACTTGTAGTCTATTAAAATACTAATACACTAATGCGCCACATTAATTATACTTATATACTGCCGATATTGAAATTTACAATAAAATGACGTGTCATCATTTATTTAAATCTTGCAGAAAGCAATAGCGTTCAGTTCGCACTAAATATTAAATTATTAAAAGGTAATTTAAATAACGATAAAAATGGGTGTAAATATTCATTGTTGTTTATTGTTTTCGTTGAATTATTTATACTTGCTGGCAGTATTTTATTATGTTAACAAATGCAGACTTAACTTAAATAAGTTATCACGTGTTTGGATTCGCATGTTTCTGCGCTAAACCAAACAAAATAAATCTGACTAAAATAGTTTGTTGTGAACATAATACACGCTCAACACCTATTAACTTAGTTTTAAAACTTAGTTTTTCAAGTAAAATGTTTACATTCAAACATCTTGAATCGTGAATTGAGAGCTGGCATTAAAATACAACGACTAGAGGACACAGATGTCAACGTGATTAAAAAATTGATGCTGACCCAACGTAATCTCGCATCAAGATGTACGCAAGCATCCTCTAACTCTAACATCTCAACACGTTTATTTGATGCTTGTTTCGACAATTGCTAAAATCATTTCGCTAATGCGAATCGCGCAAGTGAAGCATCGTCGGCCCTATTACCAGTCATATCAGTAATGACAGTAGTGTTACTGTGTAACCATGTCAAGAGTGTGCAGAGTGTAAAGTATAGTGAAAATATTTAATATTCAAATCGCATTTGAAGGATATAATTTAAAAAATCAAAATGGCGCAGCCCGGTACGCCATTATTAACTAGGAAGTTAAGCGATAGATTCTACATTCCCGATGATAGTGATTCCCAATCACAGGTGTAAAAATAAATAAAATGTAAACGAGTTTATTCTAAATTATTGTTTTGTTTTAGGCGTCTGACAATGACATACGTAGTGATTACTATGGCAGCGATAACGACTTCTCGGACACTGAGGAGTATGTTCAACCAGTTCCAATTGCAGCAACTACAAATGGGTAATTAACGAAAACAAAACATTACTAAGCATGCGCGCCGGTTCTCATATTTTTTGCACTCGCAAGTAATTTAAACTTTTGGCATACATTTTTCTACGATATCGCGTAAATTTCAACTTTTGCGGTTTCCCTTTAAAGTGTCAGTGTTGTTTACACTATGAGAAAAAGGAAAATGGAAACCTTCGCTACTCTCTACCTTGAAACAACCTAAAAAGTTGAACCGTCAATATTTATCATAGAACACTTAACATATCATAATACCTATTCATATAACGAGCAATTATCAACTCTACCTCTATATCCGATCATTTAAATGCTTCAGTTATACAATATTCTATGCTGGTTATCTCTTCAGTTCATTTACTTACAAATTTTCTCCATTTATGTGATAAATTTATATGCGAACAACGTAGTGTTACCTTGTATTATGCTAACTGATTAAAATACCTACACAAATATGTTCATAATCCAATTATACGCTACTAAGCAAACAACTTAATTTAAATTTGCACGCAAAATATTCCCCACACGCTACCGCGACTATATCGATACAATACATCTCTTCGGCAGGTATTTTAAAACACATACTCGTAATGAAGCTCAATTTACATCGATTTACCTTGTAACTACGTCATTATTGGTCCAACTAATTTGTTTGTGGTTTCACTAAGCCCAGTTTTATTGCACACCGCAGACGAAGCGGGCTGTTTCTTTTTATTTTCATCGTTACAAGCAGGACCGTAAGATAATAACTACAAAATGTAAATTACAATATAACCAACTGTGCTATATGGATATAATGTTTCTGAACAAAAGTATTGCGCCTGTCCTGGTTTTAATTGCACCAATATTCTTACCGACAAACTTGTGAACAAATAAAATTACGCGCGCACCGCGCAAGCAAATATTGGCATTAGCACCTCGATGATAAAATACCTAGAGGTGCCCAGGTAAAGTTTTTTTTCATAAGTTTTATTTGATTTATTTCCACAAACAAGAGTTAATACATTTACCTGGTGCGCGTCATTGCATCCAGGCGTTATTCGGTGTTTTTACTTCGCTTTGTGAACAGTTCACGATGATGAACTCAGTGTGATTCATTTACATATGCAATAAATAAGAATACAATACGTTTGCTGATTGAAAATCAGTCAAAACAATTGAAATTGAAAAGTGTTGAAAACAAACCGTTTTAGTGTAAAACTGTGTCATTTTTAAACATCTCAAGTGCGCTGATTATCGAACATTAACTTATCAGCTTATTATTACTACTTATCTTTACTCTCATAACGAGAACCAACAAGTTTATGTTTCATCTCGGTGTGACAACTCAGTTTTGTGTTGATTACAGTTAATAATAAGTGTAATTTCGTGTGAAATTATGTAGTATGTTAGACTTTTGTTGGATAAAAATTGAGTAAAATTTAAGATGGCAGGAGACAACTGTACGCAATGTGGAAATAGCAAAGTACCAAACACGCAAACTCATCAAAATGAAGCGGATAAAAGTGGCGCAAGCAAAGATGTGAGAATATCTGTCAATGAGAAAAAAGATGAAAAACGGGACAGCGATTACTACGACGATGAATTCAAGTAATAATATTTTTGACATTGGCTAGTTTAGTTCAACTTTTCCAGGAATATTGTTCTAAAAATTGCTCTACCAATTTTGAAACATTTGCAGTCCAATTTAGAACAATCATTTAACTTAATCCGTCTGACGTTTTAACGTTGATATTAAATTGTATAAAATAATATACTCTAACATTGTGCGTGATGCGGTTGCAAAACGGATATTAAAATTATGCGTCATTAAAGATCGTCGCCGGTTAGCCGGTCAACGTCAGCGCAGACCGTCGCTAACAAACGAAGCGAAAGAATCTTCGCGACATTCTTCATCCCGCGACGCGTCTGGTCATCTCAGCAAATTGCTATAAATTATCGGTTTCGCTCTGTGCCGGTTTAATGCGTTGATAATATAATGCCCTAATCAGAGCCTGTTCCGACCCAAGTCGGGTCGACAATCTCTAAATAGTATCTGATTGCGCGCGTGCATTACCCTCTTTGTTTCGACGTGCAGTTGCATTTCTGATCTGCTTCTGTTGCAGAGTACCATTGCGACATTCGCGACGCAAGTCCATCACTGTTATGCCCAGGATGAGCAAATCAATGAATGGGATCAATGGTGATGATGGCGAAAGTGGTTCGAATTCACCTGCTAATTCCATCACTTCGGTTAATTCATTGGCGAGTTTACTCAGAGAGAAGATGCAGGTCAGTTTTATACTTTCAAATATATCTAATTTGTATCTAAATTTAAATAATTGTAGATGCTACCAAGTCAATTACGAAGGAAGAAACCCAAGGACTATAAGATCCGTGTTTTTGTCGTGTTCCTTTTTTTGACAATAGTTTTCCTGATTGTATTTGCTTATGTGCTCTACCAACAAAAGGTCCTTCAGAAAGCATATTTTGAAAGAGTTAAATTCAACGAAGCTAAACGTCTAATGAAAATTTTTAACCAAGACGGCCATGAAATTATCAGAGGACGCCTGGGAACTACTATAAACTACGACAAGGTATACCCTTGCCTACCTGAAGATGATCCTGGTGATGGATCTATTTGTTTGGAGTGGATGCAAAGAGCTAGACTTCTTATGCAAAGAGAGCAACTCAACGAGGATGTCCGGTGTTACAATCTCAATTGGATGTCTCTCACGGAATCAATAGATCCAACAGATTGTTATGATATGAGCAATGGTCATTGGTATGGAGGTGGTGACAATGCGGAATCAGCTTGGCCTCTTGAAAAGGCCGAACATGATTATTCCCCGTTTGTTACTGGCAGAGTAGAAAAACACCGCTGGAGTAACGTGCTGAAAAGATATTTTATCAATTCGAAAGGTGTGGCAATTGTCATCGATGACAGAAGTCCTTTATACTTATCCATTAAAACCAACAAAGACAAAAAGGAACTTTGTATGAAAGCAAAATACGATGATTTTGCATTTGTCAATAGATTAACGGACTATCCTCAGTTGAAGTATCGAGTTTGCACTGGTAGCAACATAACCAAACTTCATCTATTTTTATCTGAGAATATTCTATGGGATGGACTTACTCCAGATGACAATCAAGTTATTAATTCTTTGCTTACTGAACCTCTTTGGCAGATTACAGCTAATTTCAAGGAGAATTTTACTCAGGAGACTGTGTTTAATTATACAGATAACGTGATTGGCCTAGGATTTCTCAAACAAGGTCATGTTTTGATTAACGAATTCTGGCAGAAACAGATCGGTGATTATACAGTGGATTTAGATAGATTCCCAACTTTAGAAGAGACATTGAATATCATGCATCGAAGAGGTTTTAGAATTGTGTTTTCAGTTCAACCATTTATTTCCACTGAGAGCTCTAATTTTGCTGAAGCAGTCAAAAAGAGATTGCTCATTTCAGAACGATACAGTGATCGGAGAATACCAGCGTTAACAAGATACAAATCCTTGGAAAGTGCTGGTATGCTAGATGTAAGCAACAATCGAACAATGCCTTGGTTAATTGAGAAATTGCGAGCTATTAATAAAAAATATCCATTTCATGCGTACTATCTTGATCTGGGTACAGCTTATAATCTACCACATTATTACCAATGTGAGAATATGCTGCATAATCCGGATCAGTACAAAACTCAATTCATAAATAACATTCAAGGAAACTTGAACATTTTCGGAGTCAATAGTGCAATTGAACGCCCACGGGCCCCAATTTTTGTATCACTTCCAATGGTGGAGTCGTCTTGGGATGGCCTAAGGAGAGTCATACCATCAATACTTACCTACGGCATTATTGGTTATCCGTTTATTATACCAGGTGCCGTTGGTGGTGACTACTATGACAGTCATTATAATTTACCTTCCGATAATGCCGTTTTGCCTGATAAAGAACTGTACATCAGGTGGTTGCAACTTGCTACGTTCCTACCGGTCATCAGATTCACACATCTTCCAAGCACCTATGGGGATGAGAAGGTCCTCCAGATGGCAAAAATTCTCACCTCTTTAAGACAATCTGTTGTTACTCCTATTCTTATACAATATGCTAAGGTAGCATTAGATTCCGGGATGCCTTTAATAAGACCTCTTTGGATGTTGGAGCCTAACGATCAAGCTTGTCATATTGTCAACGATGAGTTTGCAATTGGCGAGGATTTGATTGTAGCTCCCATGTTGTACTCGAAAGGACGACAAAGAGAAGTTTATTTACCAGCAGGCGTGTGGAAAGATGGCATTGACGGTAGTCTGAGGAAAGGAAGTCGATGGATACATGATTATCGGATCGAAGAAGATAAAATTGCATATTTCGAACGTAAGCCAGATGATACGAGATTTTAAACTTAGTAAAGTTATGTATCAAAAATTATTACTACTTATGTGATTATTTAACTATATTAAACTGTTTATTTATATTCGTAACGAAGAGAAGTAAAGAAATAAATTATAAACGAACAATTCTTTTCATCTGTTTTAAAAAGCTCAAATCAAACAAAACAGAAAATAAATCAATCGCGAAAAGTTCGTGGATTTTTAATTTTGCATTTATGCAGTAGCGACACCTATAACCTGCGCTTTATAATTCCTTCTAGAATTTCTGTTCAAGCAGAATCGCAAACATTGAACCGCTGATCTGAACCGTTAAAACGTGGTTAAATCAAGCAAGACACACCGCTTCTCTAAACAAACAACTCCTAAACACTGTGAAATTTTGCCGAAATGGATAAAATTCAAGAAGTAAGTAAAAACACAATAACCTATTCATAATAAGATGAAATTCTAACGAATTATTCAGTTAAAACGCGATGTCAGTGAGCTGGAGTCTCTCATGGCACAAGCGACCCGCACCAAAGTTAAAGATATGATTAGCATCGATTGCCGCAAGTTGGTTACTGAAATTATACGAATTGAAGAGCAATTAAAGAAAGAACAACAGTCTACAGCCACCACACCAACTGCCAGTGCCCCTGCAGCTTCAACAACATCCAAACGCTACCAAATTAGATTAAACAATTATGGTATGCTATATGTTTGTCATTTAGTTTAATTATGATGAATCTAACATCTAATTATTGTGCTTAGCTTGGCACCAATCAAAAAAATTGGTTCAGTTTTATGTTCACCTCAAGAATGTGCAAAGTCTACAACCAGAAGCAGTAACATGCACATTCACACCAAAGTCAGTAGAACTTTCAGTTACTGACTTGGATGGCCGAGATTACATTTTCACAATAAATAAATTGCTTGAAAACATAACGCCGGCCGGTAGCAGTTGGAAGGTGAAAACCGACATGGTGGTTATCAACCTGGCGAAAGAAACCCCGGTTAGTTGGTCACACGTTACTGAAACAGAAAAGAAGGCAAGCGAGGCGAAAAAAGTGCCACAGATGGACAAGAACGCTGATCCCTCCGATGGCCTTATGTCTATTATGAAGAACATGTACGAGCAGGGCGACGACGAGATGAAACGCACCATCGCCAAGGCGTGGACTGAGGGTCAGGGTAAACAGCGAGGTGGTATGCTTTAGAATCTCAATTTTTTTATATTATACATAAAGCTACATAATAAGTATAATGTAATGATATAAAGAGTACGAGGAATACTTTAATAAGTCACTTGTATTTCGGAGCAAAATTTCAATTTGAAGATTTTTTTCTTAGGAATGCAAGTCCGATGTTCTGTTTAAAAACAGTAATCACATATTTCGAGATTTAGTTGCAAGACATAACTTCAGTCACAATGCAGTGTATGCACATCACAGTTAATTGCTTTTGCTTACATTGTACGATAATCGATAATTTTGGTAGAATTGATTGTCAGATTTAAATAAAGCATAAGACAGTAAGTAATACTTTGAGCGCTTGGTTCAGGAAGTGGTTGTAAGATCAACCAACTTCCTTGCTTGGCCTGTTTGGAATCGGCAGAACACAAGCACCCGCTCTTCCAGTGATAAGTGGAGCCAATTGTATCCACTCATTACTTACTGGATCATACTGCTCAACGGTACAGAGGTAATGATTGCCATCGTAACCACCGATTGCGACAATGCGATCACCAAAGAGACACGCTGCGACAGTGTCCCGCTTGCTTGAGAGTGATGCGACGGATGACCATGTGTCAGTCCCTAAATGAATAATATTAATTTAAAATGATGATATTACAATTAAGTTTAGTTCATAGTTGACTTACTTGGATCATACCGTTCGACGCAATCAAACCTGGAAGCTGCCGGATTATTCGCGGGCGCATCCTGACCGCCAATCGCGTAAAGATACCCGTTGGCTACTGCTACACCCACGCCGCTCCTGCGTCTTGTCATTGGCGCACATTCAGTCCATTTATTCGTGTGCGGATCAAAACACTCCATCGTACGCAGGCAGACATAGCCATCGCGTCCGCCTACCACGTATAGTTTACCATCTAGGACACCTACCCCTGCACTGCATCGCTGACTCTGCATAGGCGCTACGTAATTCCATGATCTTGTATTTGGATCATATCTTTCAACAGTGTTCAAGTAACTCCAACCATCGTGACCACCGATGGCATAAATTGGCCCGCCTAGCACTGCCACGCCTAATCCATGTCTGTGGGTATTCATCTGGGATAAATGCGTCCATGCGCCTGTTTCCATGTCCAAACACTCCATAGAGTTAAGAGTCTTGAGGCCGTCACGGCCTCCGACAACTAATAGTTTATCACCGAGAAGTGCGACGCCGAATTGCAAACGCCTTCCGCTCATGTTATGTGCGACAGTCCAGCAATCACTGCGTGGATCATAGGTCTCAATCGTAATCGCGCCTTTGTTGCGGTCGATCCCGCCCACAACTAGAAGTCGCCCCAGTGTGGCTTTACGCGGGCGCGTTCGTGCGGATATCATCTGGAAGCGCCTAGCTGGAAGAAGGTGCCACTTCATGGCTTCGGTTATTAATTTTTGGCAGTTCGAGTCATCTCCTAGAACTCGGTCGACATGGTCAATCAAGAAAGCTGGGTCCAAGAGGGGAAGTTTGATAAGGGAGAGCAATTTTTCGACGTGTTGCATTCGAGGCGGGTCGTGGCGCAACCAGGACACCAACGCATAAAAGATTTGCTCTTCGAAAGATACATTGAGCTCGTCGGAAGAAAGCAGTGTAGACATCTGATCTACTGTTAGTTGGAGGAATTCTTGATTTTCTATCACCTAGAGGAAAAGATTAGAAATTCAGTAAGTTTATGTTTAGAACATGAAGGTAATTGTCATTACCTGCATAAAGTTCTTATTAGTGTATGCGTTAGCTTCTAGCAACAAGCTGTTGCAGTTCTGATGTTCAGCAAACAATGCAATCCCAAGACAGTTGCTGGGGTGCAGTTGATTTGCAAGAAATCTTGAGCAAGCTTCAATCACTTTGGTAAGCTGCATTAAGCAAGCAGTCGCAAGGAGCGCTTCCACGTTATCTTCGCGGATCTCGATTGTGCCGGTGTAGCAGTAGTTCACGACCGAGTGCAGTACATCATTGGTGATGTCTTTGAGCACAATTTCATGTTCACCCTGCTCGCGCAAGTTTGACGTGAACATTGCGGCAAAGTATTCGGAAGCGGCGGATAAAACAAGTCTATCCAAATAAATTTAAAATACAATTAGGCATAACTGGGAAAGATTTCAAATGGGAATTACCTATGAGCTGGAACTTTCTTGCCATTAACACCAGCTACAAGGGTGACATCACAGAGTTTACCAACATCTAGATAGTGTCTCATGCTAGAGAGACTGTTTTCCGCGTGCCCTTCGCATCGGAATTGTTCCTCCTGCGATGTGCTGGATGCGGTGGAAAACAAAGAAAGTCGGCTGTAGTCGCGTGGCAGCTGTTCACCCTCAGGAAGTTCAGTGCTCGCGCTGGAGAGGCTCGTCGACGAATTGGCATTGATACTGGTATAGCCCGAATCCCGCGAAGGGCTGGAGTTTGTCACCGACATCACAGTTGATTGTTGTTCACTTCAATAGGATAACATGACAGTCGAGGGTTTAGTGTTTTCCGTTGTTTGCTGACAAACAAAACATGAACTTGTGTGAACTCGGCTGAAGAATTGTGAGCCTGTGAGCGGAGAGAGGAGGCAGGAAAACATCTGCATCAAGGTCAAGAAAAATTGAACTAAGCATGCGCAATTTCATTCAACAGGATATAATATTCAAACTGAAACCTAAAGTAAGGGTTTACTAGTTAACAGGATTTGAAAATTGAATAAAACATATTAATTCTGATTTAAATCAGAAAATATATTAAATTTTTTGCCGGATAATTAATAAGTTATAGTAACATTAAAATAAAACAAAATAACATAGTAACAAAATTCAGACGCTAACAATATATTTGATTGTAAATAATCATGTCCCAATAATATAAATTTATTGAGAATAATTAAACATAGATAAATTTATTTGAAATCAGAATCAAATATAAAATAAGGTTATGAATTTTGATATTACGCGTACACCAGCTGCGCCACTCTACAAATTCATCGACACCAAACAACCATCCATCAGCTGAAATTCGCCTGAATGCCTTAAATAAACCCTAAACGTACGTGTAGAATTCCCGATACCAGTTAATTCACACCCTCGGTGATCATGGGTGGAAAACAGAAGCAAGCTCAAAGAGTGAAAAACAATGCACGAGTAAGTTCGCATTTTCTTCATATCTAAACCAACTTGTTTGATTTTGGTATTTTTGCAAGTGCTAAAACAATAATTATGTTTCTGTAGCCATCAAACTCAGGGAGAAGTGCCGAATTTCTCGGTACCGCTTCGACAATTCCACCGTTCAGCTTCAGCACCATGAAGGAACCTGGCTTCACTGCAGCTTCTTTCTCACTGACTCCAATTGATGATATTGATGCTAGTGTTGACAGTAATTTTCAGCTTGTCCTGAAAAAAATGAATAAGAAGGATGCCACAACAAAATTGAAGGTAAACATGTAAGATATAATAATAGAAATTTTCATAATTTTTGTTTTTGAATTTTGTTGGTTTAGGCTTTGCAAGAATTTACAGAACTTGTTAAAAATACTGAATCTGAGGCTGTGAAAGCAATACTTCCTTTCTGGCCTCGACTCTACTGCGCGCTAGCCACTGACGCTGAGCACAGAGTCCGTGAAGCTACGCATGTCGCTCATAATCAAGTTGTTTTAAAAGCAAAGCGCAACTTAGCGCCATACTTGAAACAACTAGCAGGTCCATGGTTTACGTCTCAGTATGATACTTACGCACCAGCATCTAGTGCTGCTTGTCGGTCGTTTAAGGACGCTTTTCCTATAAACAAGTTGCAGGAAGCTATTATGTTTTGCCAGGAGGAGATATTGCATTACATCGGCGATAACTTAACCGTACACACGGCACAAACACTAAGCAATCCGAAAACTACCACAGCTGATGAGAGTAAAGCAAAACATGAGCGTGTGCTCATCTCCAGCCTGCAAGGCTACTCATTGTACTTTCAGCAGGTGTCTGAAGCAGGCATTAAGAAGGTGGAGGAACTTCATAGGAAGATCCTTTCACATAATAGGTTCTGGAAACTTGCAAGGAGCGATATTCCACAAATACGAGCCTCTTGGTTTGGAGTACTATCGGTGATTTGTGAAAAGGCTGGATTTTTATTGGTCGGGGAGGAAGCGAATGTTGTGAAGGCTGTTTTTGGAGTTTTGGATGAAAGTGATCCCGCCGTTCAGTGCAATTTATGGGAGGCCGCGTTGCTAACTACTAAAACAATAGAGGTATGCTTTGTATAATGTATAGGAATCTGTTTGTAATTTGTGGTGAGATCATTATCATTAGAACTGGTGGAATTTTTACAACATTGAAGAAAAACTACTTCCAAAACTATGGAAAGTTCTTAGAGAAGCAGGACATGGCAATGCGACTACGATTTATCCAAATTTGTTACCATTGATTTCCCATCTGCCATCATCTTTAAATTATGAAGAGTTTCTACCGAAGTTTTTTAGCAATATGAAAATTGGGTAAGTTTTTCGTCACAACTTTACTGGGAGGCGTGAATTTGATTGTATCTGTTTAGTTTAAGTCAAAACAGTGCCAGAGCTTCGCAGTCTGAGTCCCGAGCAATTTCAATCGCCTTTGTGGAATGCCTGCAGTACACCATAATGCAAAATCACGAAAATGTAACGTTATGTGAGCATTTAATCAAAGAACACTTGATCCCTTTGATTGATACATCTCTTATCGATCCCCGAGCGGCTCACAAAACGCTTTTTAATCAAGTATCATCTCTTGTACAATATTGGCATAAAAACAAAGACACTGAGCAGCCAAACTATTCTAAGTACTTGCAACAATTCTGGTGCGAATTAGAAAAACTATTTTCTATTCGTATAACGGAATATGCGGCCAAGGAGACAGCATCGGTTGTGAGTGAACTAGCCGGCCGACAAATTGATCTCTTGGTATGTTTGAAACACACCGTCAAACCGCGAGCGTTTAAGGTACAATTCACCACCGAAGATGACCAACAGGAGCGCAAAGGTTCCGATCGCAGAAATTCCAAAACACATTCTAATGTTGATCGTTCCTATTTAGATGCTCTTCATCGGCTAGTGTTTGACGTGTGCGTGTTTTACATCAAGATTGTTGACTACGACGAGGCGAAGAAACTGCCGGATATGATTGAGCACGTTGTATCATTAGCGCAGGAATTCGAGTCGGAGAGTTTCATTGAACATTTAAAGGCGAAATTCTGCCCTGGAGAAAAATGTCAGCTGATGGTACTCTTCAATTTGGTTTTTGAATGGACCAAAAATCCGATGTTGTGTCGGAAATCCGTAGTGGATTTGATATTTTTGTTGTTGAAGTACAGTTCCAGTGACGAAACTCAGAGTGTTTTGCAAAAATTTATTGATGTGAGTGGAAATATGATTTATTTGTAAAAGACTTAATTGCCCATTTTCAGATTGAAAACGATGAATCATTGGGTTGGTGTATTTCGCGAGCTTTATCATATCCTCATAACAGTGATAAAATTGTGCAAACTTGGTTGGCTAATGAAAAAATAGGAGAATTTTTAGTTAAAATTACAACGTACGAAATTGCCGACAAGAGTACTCCAGATTTAAGCTTGTTGTTGAAACAAGCATTTACTGAGACAAGTGGCGGAGGTAAGAAAAATTGAATCCATTATGGAAAGTTGTTACATTTGCGTTTTTACTTACACAGAATTGTTTATAACCCAGTCAACAATTGGCAAAATCATTGGGCTTTTAAGCAACTGTTTACTCCATTCAACCGACTATACTCTCACTATTGACAACTGCGCCAGTTTAGCATCTTATATCGCTTCGTCCGTCTGCAGCGACCACACCACATTTAACGATGAACTTTTCTTGGCGCTTTTCCACTTGTCTTGCCATATGAAAGGAGAAGAATACGAGTACTTATCAAAAGATACTCTTTGGGAGGTGAAAACAGCCTGGCAAGATGCTTTGGTATCTCTTTCTGCCAATACTGATAAAGGTGTATTACTCGCGTTGAGTGAAAAATGCGCAGATATACTAGAAAGCACCATTTTGGGATGTGATATTCTTACTGTGGATTCGGAATATTCGACAGAAATCATTACCAAATATTTGCTTTCTGTTGAAAAGAGTAAACCTTTGTTTGTCGGCGAGATTTTTAATAGTTTCTTTGGTCGTGCGTTTGTATCTTTGTGGCGGGAGCAAATTTATAGTTTAACAAAACAAGTGGAATATTTAAAGGGAAATATTTGCTTTGAACATTCAACTAGTTTTGAAAGTAGCAATATTGATCCTAGAAGTATTTTAAAATACTTTGGATGGAAACTCCTCATGATAAAAACGTTACACACTGAGATAAATAATGAGGATGATTATTTTGACGATGAAGAGGATGAAGACGAGCAGAAGTCATGTACGAATCGGATTTTGAAGTTACTGGACAAATTTGAGGATGTTTTGTTGGATGTATTGCAGGATATAGTTGCTTTTGACAATATTATAGCAAATTATACACATGTAAGTATAAATTTCTTAATTTTAAGTAGTTTCACATTTAACATTGTTCTGCTTTAGCTTAAATATTATGAAAATTTACAAGACCTACACATAATCTTCACCGAAAAATTCAACGAATTGTTCGCATTGGAGCCAGCCATGCGGATATCATTTGAGACTAGTTTAAAAAACAAACAGGGTTGGTCTATACCAGCGTACAAATACTTCGTGCAAATGAATAATCAACGGCCAAGAACAATTTTTGCTATGTTGAATAATAATACGAGTGGTGAAAACAAACTGCATTTGATACAAACATTTAGTCGACGACAAGAAATCACGTTTGATGATACCATACAGCGGATGACACCAATTGAATCTGTTGTCAGGTTGCGCTGTTTATTGCACTGTGAAGATATTGATGTGCAAATTGCAGACGTCTTTGGTCGAATCGAAAAGATCAAATTCTTTGTGGGTTTTGATAATTGGGAGGAGCTTCAATTGGTTATTGAAATTTCACGGTTGTGCACAGAAATGTTGAGATGTAACAAAACTGATAATCTTACTAGACGCCATTGGGATTTCATTGTCGTGAGTTTGGGAACATGGAGTGCTAAATTACTAGAAGCCAAGGATATGTTCACAAATCCACAGGTAAAAATGTTTTTATGTTTGTTTTTTGTTGACTAAAATTGCAATAACGTAATTTATTAGGTTTCTGCATTCATAACGGCGATCTCCAACTTATACATAGCGATACACAATCATATAGAACTTTTGCGACAAGCAACACCAGTTAGTAATTACGTCGATGAGTGGGAAAATGTTTTCGTTAAGAGTATTACATCGGACCTGGTTCGCACCTGGTTGTATTTATCCGAGAAATTCGTGACGATGAAAACAATTCCGACAGCTGTTCAACCATTCTTACAAGAGTTTGGTAAAGTTATAGGATATCTTCGACCTCGGTATGTTTTCGATTCGCGTATAGACGGCATGCCGAAGTGGTCTAAACTTTTGAAACAATGTTGTGGACTGTTGACTTGTCCGGAGCATGCGTTACAACTGTGGGGGTATCATATGCTCAAAGTTTTGTCTTTTGGTTTGGTCCAAGTTGACGCCATTGCGGTTGATACAAATACTCCACATGAGAAGGGGTTGATAATTGAGCAGTTCAAAGACCCCCTAGTGGAGACGCATAACATTGTGTCAACCATGTTGCTTGATTTTAGGTAGGTCTTCTACTTAACTTTAAATTAAGTACAGAAATAATTTGATTGTTTTATTATAGATTAGGTGAAGATAGTTGTAGGGTCGAGCCATTTACCGACTCCTACACCTACACATTTGCTTACCTCTTGCTTTGGGATATATTGCTTTACCTCTGTGAAAAGTCTTCTACAGAATTACGTTTTCAGTACGCTGATTGGTTACGAAAAGAAGACTTATTGAATAGTTTGCTTAGCAGTATATTCAAATTGATGCCGTTAGGGGTGTTTCAATCAGAGAGTGCCAAATTGGGCAGTTGGTTTGTGGAAAAAACAACGCTTTCTTTGGAAGGTAAAATGAATTGCTATTCCGTTTGTATTCAGGTTTCATGCTTATATTTTCAGAACCAATAACCAGTGAAAAAATTGAACGTTTAAACTGTTCGGTTTACGCTTCAACTTTAGCGCAACTTCCAGCCACAGTCAGGCAGTGGTGGTCGAGTGCTGAAGCAAGAACTTCGCAGATTGTTGAAAGGGTTACTGCGACTTACATTTCTCCCTTATTGTGCAACCAGGAGTTGGTTGATGTGTCAAAGCACGAGAATAAGTTTAAAAATATGATCGTAAGTTTCATCAGCTTTAACTTTTATAATTTATTACACATTTTGTTTAATGTCCAGATAAAGGTACACCCTTCAGTGAGAGAAGTAGTGGCCGTTTATACAGTTGATGAAGCACAAATGGAACTGTTTATCGCATTACCTTCAAATTATCCGCTTGGGGGACCTGACGTTCAGTTAAATCGGCAAATTGGCGGATTGCCACACAAACAGTGGTTGATGCAGCTAAGAATGTGTCTTTTACATCAGGTAAACAAAGTCATATGTTATTTATCCAATGAACATTTGTTAATCTTCAAATTTTCTTCCAGAATGGTCGAATTTGGGATGCACTCTCAATGTGGAACAACAATTTAGACAAGAAATTCGATGGGGTTGAAGAATGTTATATTTGCTTTGCTGTTTTACATCCAGGGACTTATCAACTGCCAAAATTGTCTTGTAAAACATGCAGGAAAAAGTTCCATGCTGCCTGTTTGGTATATGATCTACATATAAATTTAATAATATTTTGTTATAACTATTTTTTTTGTTTCAGTACAAATGGTTTAGCACAAGTAACAAGAGCACCTGTCCAATCTGCAGGAATTTATTCTAATATAAATTAGAGCTGTAAAAGTATAGTGAAATGATTGATTATATAGCAATAAATTTTATGTGCCGTCATAATTCAAGGAAATCAAATTACAAGCCAGTTTCTGAAGTATTTAATTTATTTCATATTAGTTTTCATATTAAGTCTTCATACAAAAAAGTGTTGATCACCATAAAACTATGTACTTCAAATTTCAAAAAGAAATAAATATAACAATTTATGAAAAGATGGAATTCCTTAAATTAAATGGCTTAATTATTTACTGTGAACCTGTTGAGAGGAGAGCAAGTAAGCCGGCTGTGGAACCAACAGACAGAACATAGTTAACTGATGGGCTGAAGCTCCTCAGTAGGTAGAAGCTTGCAAAGATGATGATGGCCACAAACAAGGCATTGTTATAGAAGATTGAGAATGTGGTGGCTTCAAAGTCAGCAACTTCATTCTTTTGCCACAGGATTCGCTCATCTTTTTCTTTTTTGCTCATCTTCTTATCTTCAGCAAGTTTCTTCGTGATTTCCCGTGTGACGGCCTCTTCGCGCTTGACGGCAATTTTGTGCTTCAGCAAAAACTTGGTGTTTCGGTATGCCATAGCAATGAGGTAGGTGGACATGGCAGTCACAGCAATGAAGAGAATGAACGATGAATACAGGTCGATCATATGGATCCTCCAGAAGAGCCAGATGGGTACGGCGGAGACGATGAGTGCATTACCGTAAAACAGTGCCGAAGATTTTGTGGACACATTACGGCTGAAGTCTTGCAGCAGGAGCTCTTCTTCTTTGGTAAAGCCTTTCTTTTCTTGTTTAGGTGCCATTTTACGGGATTTAATGAATTAAAGTCGGTGAAAAGTTTTGTTCACTTTAGCTTCGAGCAACTGTGGGCTTTATTAAAGGAGTGAATAGACTGAACCGACAAACCAAATGAGCCAACACGCAACAAAACTGTGTGTACGATGTTATGTTGGAAAGTTCGTGCGGTTCGTGGATGGTTCGTGGCACGTTTCTGTCAACGTCGTCGCCAACTCAACGAAGAGCGCCATCTATTGGTGTACCATTCTTATCTAGTTCTACTACTATTTTCTTAAGTTTCTAAATTAGGGCAAGAACCAATTCATTTGACTTAAAGGTTTAACTGTCGTATTGTAGTTTTATGGACCCTTTACACTATGCATACTCGTTCAATTCTCTAAATTCTTTAAAAGTGTCCGAATATGCCCTTTAATATTTGTCATTTTCACAAAAATTAGAAAGTACATAATAAAAAAAAGTACAGTAGAGTCCGGTTATAATGACATCGAAGGGAACTGACAAACACGTCATAATAAGCGGACGTCATACAAACCGTTTTGTGAAATAAAAACCTTTTTTTACGTAAATATGTACCTAAGTACTTTAATATATAAACATAGTAATTACAAATGTATATAAATGTATACATATATATAAAATTAAAATCAAAATTGCACATAATTACACATACAAGAGTATTTTTTACTGTTTTAAATAATCTGTCATTTTTGTCTGCTTTTGTTTTTTTATTTTATTGTAAAAACAGTCTCTAATACTATTATGAATAGAGGACATAGCTATGGTCAAATTATCATTTGCAATATTGCTGTGCATAGTAACAAACACAAGAAACACAAGACACAAATAGTTAAACACAAACAATAAATTCACCTCCGGCAGCGTGACGAGTTGTGAGAAGATAAGTAGGAACTGTTCTTAGATTTCAAAGTTGTGGTATGTAAGGTAAGAAAATCGGTCATGTTATATGGTCTGCTAGAACAGGATTGGTTAAGATTTAATTGGTTTATGAGGGTGAAAAACAGATCAGAAGGTTAGTTTGGAAAATACGGATTAAGTCGTGGACAAGGTACTGCTGCCCGAATGCTTATATTTATTATTTAAGCATGGGGTCTTTCCGATAGTAAATACATAAAAGTAATTTGACAATCATAAATGAAATGTAGCAATAAATATAAAAAGTTCGCCACGTGTCGATCGTCGTCGGGAATCAACGAGCATGACCGGAGGTGTAAAGAATCATGTTGGTCATTATAACCGGACATAATCTATTAAAAATGGGTCATAATAAGCGACATGTCACTGTAAGCGAAGTCATTATATCCGACTTTTTTAAAAAGAATTTTATATAAAAACCAAACTTCGTAGTGTAGTTACGTCATAATAACCGGTTGGTCAATATAAGCGGAGTCATACTAAACGGATTCTACTGTAGTAATGGGAAATTAGTTATAAGTTGTAAATATATATCTATTGTGTTATCCTTGCATGTTCAGAAATGAGTGTTGCTATGGCAGTACAAGTAATATGAATTGCTCTTGCATTAAAATATGTATGGGTATTAATAAATCTTTTTCCATCATCAGAAAGACTGTTCCTAGCTAGAAAATTGTTAATGTTATTTAGAAACATGAGGATGAATTGTAGAGACATCGTATGTTGGGGCCGGCAATTATTATTTCTATCCGTTAACCCTCTCGAAGTCGTACTGTCTTAATAATACCCGAGAGAGAATTTAATTCCTCATTTCTAAGAGCCGCGTTAAAGTTACTGAGCCGCCAAGGTTGCGTTTAAACCCGAAAAAATACATATATTTTACGAAAAAGAGTGAAAACTATCAAGTTACCCTTTTATGAAAATTTTTTCGGGTTTAAGATAAGAAGAAGGAAATTTTGCAACAAACCAATTTAATTCTACATATGTGTGACGCGACGTTTGCGCGAAATGACTAAAAAGACGTACGTATTACGAGTGTATAAAACAAGCAAGTAATGATATGTATTTTATGCGTTACAACTCTACGGCAAGGGCTGAGGAGGCTGAGGATTCCTTATTCCTTGAAATAAATTAAATTGTTAAGGGAAAGTGTGGGAAGGTGTGTCATCGCCGCAACTCGGCAAGCGAAATAGAAGAGAGAATATGAAAAAAATTTGAGGCACTTAGAGTAGAATTTCGGAATGACGCAGACTTTAAGAACGACTTTGGCACTAACAGAATCTACAGAAAAATATAAATATCAAGCGCAAAAAATGCGCCTCCATTGAGCGGGACCTGCACGTTCCCTGCGATCACAACTAAACTATGATGGACAATCGTTAGGCGTGAGGGAATGGCAACGATGACACACGGGAATGCGATTAGAAAGTGTAAATTGTATTCAAAGCACACAATTCCCTCATTTTAAGCAATTTCTTTTATACTTTTAGGGATATTCGAAAATAGGGCCTATATGATTATTAGTGCTAGAACTAAGCTGCAACATTTTTGAACTTGTGGCGTCCATCTAGTGACGGCGTATTAAAGTAACGGTTACTTTTAAAAACAAATGTAGAAAACTATATTTGTTCTTCGTTGAATACATAATTCATTGTTTATATTATACTAGCTGAACCGGCAAACTTTGTTCTGCCTCGCTTTTCACGTGCAATTTCTTGTTCTTCTTCAGTCCTTTCATTCGCAATCCTTTGAATCCTAGTTGCATTACGGTTTTGTCGGATAAGATTTGATCGTTTTGGTCGCTGCATGGGAAGCTACGAAGCATCGCACAAAGAAGAGACGGAGAAAACTCGTTTAGTATCTTCCAAAAAAGTTTTCACTTCAAAAAGTATTAAAAAAAGTATCCTACACTTACTATGTCCTATTCAAACAAACACATCAACCGGGCAACTTCAACCAACACGTACACACATACACACGTCTATGCTACGAAGCATCGCACCAAGAGGAGACGGGGATAATAGAAAACTTTGTGTTTGTGTTCTCTTATTCTCCCGCAAGATAATCCATATACGCAAATATGTTTGTCTCTTTTTAGTGTTGTTTAGTGCCCTTTTAGAAAAGTTTTCACTTCAAAAAGTATCCTATTACCTTCTCCTGGCCCTAAGCTACCTCTCCACCAATTTTTAGCTAAATTGGATTAGCCGTGCTTTAGTTATAAAGGAGTTAACCAACACGACTTTCTTTTATATATATAGTGATGCGTAGGTTGTGCTTAGTTGTTGACAATGCTCGGAAGAGGTCGAGAAGTGCGTGCGGCGTCGAGCGATGTTGATGGTAAAAAGAGGCCGAGTCGCTCAGCATCCCTTGCTGAGCACCCTCAGCGCGGTCTGGTCGGCGGTGTTCGTGGCTCGTCGGCTTGACATGCGGCCTCTTCCGCTGGGGGTTGTAGGTCGCGGACGTTGTGGGCGTTCCAAACTTCGCCGCAAGTGGGCGCCGGAGCCAAGGGTAGCTTCAATAGATTTATTTAAATTTTATGGATTGTTGTCAATGCTCTCGAGGAATGTTTAACTCATAACAAAAATGTAATTTAATCACGTGAAATTGAAATTATGAAGAATTAAGATAATTATGTAGAAAATATCAGTTGTTGTTTAGATTCTCATAGACAGATGACCCCTGTTACTCTATAAAAGAATATAAAGTTCATGTCAACCCACTATTATTATATTGCCCACTTATTGCCGTACATTAAAATGCACTTCTCAAGATATTGGATAAAACTGAGTTTTAGTTTTAAGATGCAATATAATGCACGTGTTTTATCGTGTATCAATTAGATGATTTTATTTATTATTACAATCTTATTTCACAATTCTATTCTATTTTAGCGCTCTAACTAAATCGTTAATATCCTTATATACTGGCTACAAATATTACATATTTATAAAAAATTACGTTTGTACAGGGCTGATTGATATAAAAAATTATTGAGAAATAAATACTGTTCGTAGAAATCAGTTTTCACTGATTGCACGCAATTATATCTGAATAATGATATCAACTTTTTAATTATTAGTACAATGCAAATGTAACTATAGCATTGGTATTTAAATACTAGTATTTCATTAGTATAAAATGTAAAAATTGTGCTAATATCAGTATTATTACATACATACAAAAAGATTTCAATTTTATATCTTCGGCGCACACTTTTCACACTTCTCTACAGTTTTGTTAATCTATCAATAACAGTTTCACTCTGCATCACTCTGCATCCATTCCACAGTTATGATACATTGCACTGTAAGTACTTATTTGTGTTCTTACAACATAATTTCACGCACACATTTTATTAATATTATTCACAGAAGGATGAGTTAAGAATTAAGTTCCTTGTCGATGTCGATGATTTTATTCGGCGGATGTTGTATCTAGAAACACACAAAAACAGTACCAAATTAAACAATGAAAACTAAAGATAGAACGCACCTACCGCTATGTTAAGTATTATTATGATTGGCTATTCCAGTATTTTGAATTGCAATAATTGCATGCAAAGTTGATATTTTTACGTCCAATTGTTAGTGTGCAGTGAGCATAGCTATTTTTATTTCGCTTTTGATAAGTCCATCCGCCCGTCTGTGGTTATCAATCGCTAAGTCCTAACATCCTTATATACCTATTGCGCCGAATTCGTGTGCTCGGGATACTCTTCATACTCGTCCTCGCCGTCATCGTAATCACCCTCGTTGCCCCCGGCCTCGTCGATTGTGTCGTCCACTTCAAAGTCGTCCTTGTTATAATTGTGCTGGTGGTAACTCGGCGGCGAAGGCGGCAATAAATCCTGTTAGTATTCGCACAAAAAGCGTTAGTCACAACAAGTAATTCCTCTTTGCAAATTTTTAGATTTTAAACATCAAAAGCAAATGTAAACGTTAAAAATAAACAATATACTTTCGGCGGTCTCCATCCACATCCTGGAAGAGGAAGTCCATCACTGCCCAGAGGGCAAGGGGCATCCAATCCTGGCACACCCTGATCACCTTTGTCACCTCTGTCGCCTTTTCTGCCACGTTTACCAATGGGACCCTACAAGAACATTTAATAAGTTATTTTGAAAAAACTTCATTAAAAATAAATTGAATGAAAATTTAAAAACTCGCATAAAGGACTTACAGCATCGCCCTTGTACCCTTTGTCGCCCTTTGGACCCTAGAACAAATGATTAAGCACGAAATGAGATGAATAATGAGTAGAAGATTAAAATGATGATTAAACAAAAAGAACTGGAACAGTGACTCAAACCCAAACGCAAGCGCGAGTTAATTTCACACTTAACAGATAACAAGATGAGAATAAGAATGGACGAATATTTAAGAGATGGCTTCAAATATGAATCGGAATAGGCCTGGAGGAATAAATTAATGAAGGTGTAGACGTTAATGAAGCGCACGAAATGCGTCGGGGCATTTCTCTCCTCGTAAGTTAATAGATGTACGAATGGGAGAGATGCGGGTCGCTTTAATTAGTGTCGTTAGTAGTACCTCTTGTCCTGGTATGCCGTCCGTGCCCTAAAATTTATAGAGACAAGCATAAATTCATTGTGTTAATTACGCACAAACGGCGCGAGCTAATGCCGAATCGGATAGTTACTGCACTGTAAACTTGTGTTTACTTGTTATTTGAACAAATACACTTTGTACTTTCAAACTATTTGACCTTTTCATAAATGTCAAAAGCAATCCTTTTAATTAATAATGATTATCTAACTGGTATCATGACAATTGTTAAGCAATCATCTAATCAATCAAAATTATTGATTTTTATGGCTTTTTGTCTAGTATGTTTTTAAAAGCATTGTGTTAAATTAAGTAAACTCACGGGAAGTCCTGGATCTCCACGTTCACCTTTGCTTCCTGGTTCACCTTGAGCGCCCTGCAAATCCCAAGCGATTCGACGCAAGAAACGAAAACAAAAAGCAAACAAAAATGACACAACAATCTAATAAACTCTACAGAACATATTTACGGAAAGCCGTCATCCAGATGTTAATCTGTTGTTAATAGAGCAAAATAATTATGAAAAGATAAAACTTACTTTCATGCCGTCTAAACCGGGAGGTCCCTGTGGAAAAATAAAACAAAAACCAAATATAAACTACAAGTTAGAGCCCCAATACCAAATAGAACGTGATTGTGTGAAATAAAACAATAGCATGTGATTTGTGAATTGTAAATAAATATTGTTAAATTTATGCGCATAGTATTGTGTATACAATTGGAAAATCAAAAAAGTGTGTCAAATGTTTTTTTAAAAAGTGCAATTTTAGCATGCAATCCCATGCATCGAAAAAACAAATCCATAATGCATTTACAAAACAAAACAAAAAATTCAAAGTGGAAACAGAAATTAAAAAAGCCCAAAATGCTGTAATTGCACAAACACAATTTAAAAAACACAAAATTTCACACTGAACTAGAAGTTATGTAGTTAAAGTAAACAACACAAGATTATTTGTTCAGTTTGTAATTTTTATACAGCACATGCACAAACATTTATTCTTTCGTACATGTTAAAATTGGTACATCGAAGCTTAAACGTCATTTATCATTGTTATCAAGTCCGCATCTTCACCGTTCTTTTACATTTTACAGGATTTTACATTTCCAAGTCGTCATTAATGGTTAAAGTCATAATCGTTTTCGATTCATGTTTCAATTAATTCTTCCTGCCGTTTCACCAATTCGACATTGCCTTAGTAATTACATGTAAATATATTATATTACAATTATTGTTTTCTTGCTTCTTGACACTTCGTTATTTCTACTCGTTTTCGGTTTGCAATCTCCACTTATCTTATCCTCGTCTTTACATGATATATTTGTACAACTTTTAATTAAAAAGTTAAAATTAATCTTATTACTCGATAAATATATAAATCAGTCATAATTTAATTACAAAAATTACAGTAATCTTCATTTTGTGAGTTTCTCTTTCGCTTACGATAAATAAATCTGTACGGCCACAAAATAAACGAGATTAATCTACACCTCAAATACATTTGATATACTTCTATAATTATATTTTTAATGAATGATACTTTACGATGATATCTAATGAATGATAATTCAATTATAAAACACCTAAAATTAAAGTTTCAACACTGATTTTTGTCTGTATATTATATAATATATTACAATATTTATCTTCTTGATCTTTTTTATTTAACTTTGTGTTTAATCCGTCTTCCTTTAGCTGTTATGGCAATTTATCATATCTTATCTTATGCATGGTTTTTATACAATCCTTAAGATAATTATAAATTAATTAATATTAGAATATCGTTATCATAATGCTGTTATCAATTACAATTATCAATTAAGTCTGTAATCATACTTTGTTTTATATATTTTATAATAAATAGATAATTGGCAAATATGTTGCTTCATTTTTAATTTAAATATCAAAATCGTGACCGAAAACTCCGTGTCGTCATCGTGTTATCATTATCGTTTATCATCTATGCATTTTCTTGTAATTCTAGTATTCCTGTACGTCTAGATAAATGATCTAGTACTCGATTTGACAATGTTTACTTTAAGTCGAATTACAATAGTTTTACAGTGGTTTCTTAACTTTGAAATTGGCATCGGGTTGCTTGGCATCAAGTTTCAAATCAAAATTGCTTGAATTACGATTTTTTAAGTACTGCTTTTGTCTGCTCTGGTAAGAGCTTTGTGTTAATAACGGTTAGTGATTTTAGTAAACTTCAGGGTCAGTGTGTTGTTGTGTACCAATATTGATAATATCACTTATTTATACAATTTAGAATATCATTTCTTCATTATCGTGTATGTTTAAAATTTGTTGATGAATTTTATAATCGTCGATGGCATCTGTGATGGAAAACGTTTCGCACTTGGCATGTCTTGGCTTAACTTTGACATTTGTTAATATTAAGGACGGTACAGACAATGAACATTTGATATCGTTTTGTAGCATTCGTATTTCCATCAAAGATACATCGCCTTTTGGTGCGTCGTGTTTTCTTTGGATGTTTCTGTCTCGATGCGGCAGCTCCATTATTAATTTATTCGTCGTTAATGTGCCTCGTTTAAGTCCTTTCGCTCGCTCGTCATTAATTCGCTTACAAAATCGCCGAACGCCGTTGTGTCGATCACCACTCCTCCTTAAACCCATGCGTGAGTACATCGTGTGCAATCATTTCGCAATCAAACAAAGTCAGAAAAATCAACGGTCCATCGATACGTCTCGCGCAACGCCGGTTAAACGTAACAATCCAATGCTTATCCATTTCCAAAAACTTCCAAAAACTTGGCAGTTTTAAATCAAACTTTTTAGCGCTGATAGTTAACGTACAAATTATTGTTAGTAGTGGTGTGTTAATGAGTTAATGAGCTGTTAATCGGACAACAAACAAAATTATTCACGATGTTAGTCAAACGCTTTGTTGTTCGTCGCTTTTTTTTATTATAGGCGGCAAACAAGTTCCCATTTTGTTGAACAGCTGGTTAAATCACTGCATTGTTCGGTTAACTCGGATCGGGCCGCTTTGTATTACGATTTCGTTTGGTATTAATGTGATGCTTTTATTTATTGATTAAAACTGCAAAACGTTTAATTTGCGTCTAGAGATAGTGCGGTTTTCTTACCGTTGGACCCGGCTTGCCGAAATCGCCTGGTCGCCCACTTTCACCACGTAAACCCATTGGACCCTACAGATAAAAACAAAAATCCATCATTATTACATTATAAAATAACTTCGGTTTGCGCATGTAAGCATAATTCATTTTCACATACCGGTAAACCCATAGGTCCTGGATCTCCCCGGATTCCTTTCTCACCCTGTTAAACCAAACAACTTGAATGTAAGCACACAAAATAAACAATGCATTTGAGTTCATTACCGGTTCTCCTTTGAGACCATCCATGCCCCGATCACCTTTGATTCCAGGTGGTCCTTGAAGACCGTTAACACCAGGTGGTCCTGGAGGACCTGGCGGTCCTACAATCTGTAATTTCCAATATGGCGTCAACAAATTAAAACTGTTCAATAATTATCCCTATAGAATGAAATTCTTGGCGGTTCTGGATGTAAAATCAACCACCAAAGTGTTTCTTACCATTTCACCCCCACCACCGACTTCACCGGTACCGTCTCCCTGAAACAGTTGGAGAAATATAAAAAAAGTTTTATGTTACACTTTCGTTTACGCCTATTTGTGACGTAAACCTCCCAAAAATGACACAAAAATGAAGATAAATCCTTTTAATTTGAATAAAATTAGAATGCGGTGCACTGTATATGAAATTATGAGTGAAATTAATGGTAGTTGGTACAGAATTGATCATTACCTGTCGTCTCCTGAGCTTTTTGTATTTCTGCTCGTCGATGTCGTCCAAAAAGAAAACGGATGAAAACAGAAAGAATTCAAGAATTAGCAAACATTCCTCAATCAAGATATGCAATTTGGTGATCAAGTGTGCGCAGCATCGTAGATAAATTATGTGATATCGTCATACGCGCAAAAGTTAAAAGATTAGATGGTAAGAATGTCAAAAAGATGATAGTACATTTACCGATTCGCCCTTCTCGCCTTTTTCTCCTTTCTGACCGGGATATCCAGGAGGTCCTGGCAAGCCTGGAGGACCCATCAAGCCTGGTGGACCAATGTCACCATAATCACCCTTTTCACCCTTGGGGCCAAGTAAACCCTTAAAAAATAAAAACAAAGATAGAATTATTTATTGCCGGTATTTCCAGCCGTGTGGCTGCATTGTGATAGATAAAAAAGTCAATTAGCCGACCGACTGAATCGTCACATTACGCGTATCTTACACAAAGAATTAGTGACCTTAAGTTCCAACCGTGATTCTCTCTTTTGTAGCTCCTGAACTGTTTTTCTCTTCCGCGTATAAAACGCAAAGAATCGGAAGAAATTACCCTCCCTAGCGAACAATGCGGACAGATGTCGAGATAGTGATAGTTACACGCGGACAAAGAAACCAAACACAAAGGGTCTTTTCCGGTGAGGAAGCATGGAGAAACTAAAAACGCGAGCCGGCAAGACAAAGACTAGAAAAATCGCGGGCGACGGCTCCAAATCGTAGAATTACGGATTACTGCAACTCACAGTGAAGCAAAGCCAAGAAACATTTGAGCTAGCAGCAAGATTTATGGGTGAAATTATCTTATCTGGACATTAGTCGGCAAAATACCTCTTAAGTCCAAACTGTAATCAACTGAAATTGCTCAAATATGTACGAAATAAATCGTACAAAACAAAAAACAAAATAAAAAGTACTTACCGGAAGACCTGGGGGACCTTGAGGACCAGCCTCGCCATTCAGTCCATTTTCACCAGCAGGCCCCGCAAGACCATTCTCGCCTTTGGGTCCTAGAAACAAAATAAGTCATATTATAACATTAGATAAAATAAGATTTTCTGATTTCCAAAGTTTCGCATAAGAAAGTATTGTAAAACAAAAGCCGTTCCAAGTGAATGCGAAGTTTCGCGCTGCGAGAAGTACTGAAACAAGAAAGATTCAAGCCAAGACGAGCGGGTGTATCGAGGGTTCATTCAATTGAGATCAGAAGTGATTGCAAGGCTCATCACCTGGTTCGCCTGGATAGCCGTCGAGGCCCGGCTCGCCTTGCACGCCCGGTAGTCCTGGAAGGCCGCGCGCTGCCTCGCGTCCGTCGAAACCCTTCAGCCCCTGTTTCGTCCATCAACACCACAACAATAATGATATACATATCTTAAGCTTCATGAATCTTGAGATTTAAATATTAAAAATAAAATATTTAGGTATTTACAAGCAAATTTACATGAGACATTTAAAAAAAATTTCCTGTTATTCCTTAATACGCCCAGTACAAACCCCCTGTATGTTAAATCACCAAGCATTCCACTCATCCCCTTTCTTAAACTCACAATGATACACTAGCACCCTTTCAAAATCTATGTACCCTCGGCAAACCCCCAAAACTCAGGAATTGCGTGCTCTAAGGAACCATTAAAGTAACTAACCGTTAAATGACCCAATAAATCTAAATTTAAAGCTACTACAAATTATATCTACTACTAGACACATAGCATGATTCAATTAAAATAAAGTTATTTACATTAAAATTTACATACTGAGCATTTTTATCATAAAATCTTTAGTTTTAATTAATTATATTGCTAAGAAAAAAATGCGCAGTATGTAAATCTACTAATAAAACAAAGTATACTTACATTAAATAATAAATTCTGTGCAATAATAAAATTAATAAAGCAAAATTAATTAAAATTAGCATATTGTGTTGTGCTTGCGCTTCGCCATTGCGTCGTGAGTTGGTGCGTAATTTACATATACAGGAAGATTATTTCAACTCAATTTTAATATCATAACAACTATTCTACTAAAAATCACATCAAATTGAACTTTAACATTTAGAATGTTGAATAAATGAAGACGATGAAGAATGGAATTGATAACAATTGATTTAAATATTGAATTATAGCATTATGAAAATGGTATTACGTTAGATTTCTAAACGGCGACAACACGACTTGAATAAATTGACGTGATTTAAATAATAACAAGTGAATAATTGCTTATACAATTAAATTTAACGATGTGTTCGATGTTGTGATGAAAAGGTAACAAACGATTTATTGTTGTAGAAGTCATTACTCGATGTTAAATTTATATTCAGCTTTGTTAATAATTGTTATCTGTACCTTACCTAAATAATGCACATAATAATAATACATTAATTTAATATTAAGTACGGCGTAAAATAAGCATAAACTACTTCTAAAATTTATTAACAAGCATGCGTTTAAGCAGTCTACCTATTATCAACATTTATTATATGTTAAAATGCCAAGATGCAAAGCAATTATTTCAAACGAGCAAAGCGTTTATTGATTTGCAAGAATCATGAAGCCCAAGATTGCATTTAGATGTGCATTTTAGACGTGTTGATCTTTGATCATTTGTATCAAAATTTGTATCGTTGTTTTTTGAGATTGTTTCTTTTAAAACTTTTGCTACTTTACCCGCTTGCCGCGTCTGCCGCGAGTTCCTTTATCACCTGGCAAGCCCGGTGGGCCGACGGGTCCCGGTTCACCCTTATCACCTTTATATTTCACAAATAATAACAGAAATAAAACATAAAATAAACAACAACTGTTTCTACGAGTAGTTATAATATAAGAAATTTTGGTATATAACTTTAAAATAAGTAAAGAAATCAAATTTTTACCTGGAGGTCCTGGTGGTCCTGGAGGTCCTTCCACAATACCAGTCGGGAACTGATCTCCGCTAAGAGTTGTCGTGAAGCCTCTATCGCCCTTATCTCCTCGGTCACCCTATAACCAGACAAAGAGACAATTCAGAACATTTTAAGACATTTATATTGTCATCCCCAAAAGTAATATACGCAAGCCCTGTTAAAGCACACATAAAATAAACATGTTAAAGACATGGCGTCCAATCGAAGCAGCCGGAAATGCTACAAACACCATGATAGCTACAAATTCTACAATTGGGGCGTGTCGAGAATGTCAACACGTCATCCATTTGATTTGGCACAAATACGAGTTAGTAAATATTTACTAATACTCGCCATTCAATCCTTGATGGTAACTGTTAACAATGCTCAACACGGCTCCAAAACAGATCGCACTGTCGATAAATGTTAGCTGATTAGACACGCATGATGAAGAACCATTGAAACCGACCGAACAATTAGACCAAGCTGTTAAAGTTGACTTTAGTCAGTTACCACACACCATAAACCACAAAATGTTAACGTTTGGTGGTTATTATGTAAGTGTGAATACAAAATGGCGACTTACTCGATCACCCTTGGAGCCATTACCACCTGGAATTCCCTACAGAAGAAAAAAGAAACACAAACAAACAGATCTTTTAATTAGAAATTTGAGGGTAACGATTTGGCGTGGTAACATACTGGTAAACCCATATGACCAGGTAATCCTTGATGTCCTGGGAAACCCATTTGACCTCTTTCGCCCTAAATGTAACGCCAAATAAATACACACACATTTACATCTACAATAAAAAAATAAAATATTTAATTCTGTCCTACCTTAGGGCCCATCATTCCATCTATACCCGGTGGTCCAGGTGGTCCCACAGGTCCCGCTTCACCTCGTTCACCGATAGGTCCAAGATCGCCTGGAGGTCCTTGCCGTCCATCGTGACCAGGAAGACCTTCTGGTCCGGGAGGTCCTGGTGGTCCTGGTGGGCCAGGCTCACCTGGTTCGCCCTTCAAAATAACATAGTTAGTATTTGCTCTACAACATCTCTTCTGGTTTACTATTTGGGAAGAAACTACATTACAATTATAGGTAAAAGCCACAATTATTTCTAATTAAGTTAACAAATACTTATCACTCATGCATGTTGCAAACAAAACTAATAATTAGATGCTTGGCAGATAGAGTGTGCTAGAAATGGCCAGAGTTTTGTGTTTTATTAGTATGTTTACAAAGATTTACAAAGCTCTTAAAGATTTAAAATTGTTGAAGCATCTTTTTCTATTTTAGTACCATTAAATTTTGTGAAATGCGAATTAATAACGCCTAAAAATGTGCGATTATATGAAATATTATTGATTGATTAGTTTCAGCTAGTTGATTTTTAGTCAACATTTTCTTATAGTTTGAAGAGAAATATTTGCGACTCACTTTCAACATGACGATTTGTTCCGGCGTAATGTTAAGGCCTCTTTCTTGCAAACCCTAAAAATAATAACAACAGTGACTACTTGGCAAAAATATACTAAATACTCATTCGACATCAAGTGATCCAAAACCAGACGAAAGCCATCAAATCAAAAATAGAATAATTTCGATTTGATGGCGTTGTTATAATGTAACATCAAGTTGAGCAAACGGAAGCAACAGGTACCCAAACAACAGTGCCTAAAAATACCAGTGTACCATTCAGAAAGTTGGAGATCAAATAAGGTTTTACGAATTGAATTCAACAGGTTTTAAAACTAATTAGGATAACACCAACGAGAGAAAAACATCCAAATAATAAATCTCCTAAAGGGGTAAAGAATCGAGTCTAGAAGGCAAATAAATGTGATAATTGTTGTCTTGAGTTGACTCAAAATTCACCTTCACAGCGACGATTTCGGCGTATCCGAGCGTGCCGCCTCGCAGCGTCGTCACGGAGCGCTTCAGGCCCTGCAAGCAGATCGTTTGAATGCGACTTATTTCCGCGCCCCAAAGGGGTTAACAATGTGTAGAGCAACCACGCACCAAATATAGTACAAGTACAAATAACAAGAAGTGCAATAAAACGCTTAAAACCAGCAGATATGAGCAGGTATTAAGATTCTAACGAGTAACAAATAAAAGTATCAAAGCAATTTTCAAAAACTACTACTTAGGGCTCGGAGCAACAATTGCGTTCAGTAAAATATGAACTTTGAGTAATAAACATATTCAGAAGATCTGTTTTAATAACACAAGAAATAAATTTCGAGATTTTGCAATGGCGGAAGGCGTTCGTGAAGCGCCGAAGAAAAATGATTTACGATTAGCAGATGATTCATTGCGCACTATTTCACTCAAAACGTCAGGCAGTTACAGTACGTGAACTTACATCAAGTTACAAGAAATTACAATGGAAGATAATACTAAAAAACGTAAATTATAAATAACCCAAAGAAATAATGACACTTATTTTTATAGTAAGAAATAAGGACGTAAAGAAGTTATATTTACAAAGTGTCATTAATTATATTTGTTGCTATTCATGCTCTGAAATTTATTTATTTATGTTAGTAATTTTATAGTAAAAAAATCATGTTCTAATTCCAGTTCTCCAGATGTGATCGTCTTCGCTAATGTTAAAACCGACATAAATTAGTTCGGCGTGATTGATGCGCCCATGTTGTTGATGTTCAAAACACAGAATTAATTTGTGCGCCTCCTCGCAATCGCGATCGCAATGAATTCGCTTTTTAAAGAACACGAACGAAAACACACCCACACACACACACCCACACTCACACGATGAGTTTGATGGAAAACAAACACTACGCAATGCGCTATTCCCAAAATAGCATGAAACAACAAATATTAAATCAGAAATCAAAATCAAACTCCAAACGAAAACAATTCAGAACTGACTCAGTAAAAAATAACAGAAACAAAGTGAAAATATTTCATGAAAGAAACATGAAATTGTAAAAAATACATTCAAAAAACAAGAAACGATAACCGTTCAGGCAGTTGTGTTATTGTTACTTACCCTCCCCGTCTGCGTGATTACCGCATTACCCATACCGCAAAAATGAAAATTAAAGATGCGAAAACAAGTTCGAAATTAGTGTCGTGTAAATTAAAATTCTTATCACTAACAAGAACTAAACACTACTTATTAATTAAGTTGAAATTTCTTTTATGTTATGTTTTAGTGCGTTTCTAATCATAATCAAAACGTATTATTATCAAATTATATTTTTAAAATACAGAAATATAAATAATTTTTACCTTAACAGCGGAAAACACGTCAAATCCTGGATTGCCGGAATCACCTTTGCTTCCTTTATCACCTTGTTTACCCTGAAATAATTTTTACGCAAATTTTAATCCAATTCTTATTAATTTACTTGCAATATAAAAATAAAGAAAACCAAATAAAAACCTACCGCGTCTCCTTTAGGTCCATCTAAACCAATAGGCCCCTAAAGAAAACACAAAATTGTTACAATCACAAAATGTCTACTGATAACAATTCTACTCTACACTTTTGTGGAGGTGCCCTTTTGAAGAATTCATAAATAAATATTATATGAATATTATTTTCACACCACAAAAGGACACCGCAACAATAACATGTTTTGAAATGCAATATAATTAATATATTCGTCACTAAACAGTGTCAGAATACATTGCCAAAATTTCGAAACATGATATTTCAATAAAACATTGCCATTACATCATGTTATTTATAAATGAAATAATAAGCGCAATTGTTATTCCAAAGCTGTCAGTATGCAGTTGAAAAGTAAATGTTCGGTTATTCGATAATATTAATTAGTTGGTTGTGGTTATTTGCATGTTATTCCAACTGACAACGTCATCCATTATTCACATCCGTTTCGTTTTGTTAGCGTTCAATTAAGTCATAATGCTTTTGTTTTATTGAGATGATTGTGAAACGAACAAATGTAAACAATTTCGATCCATTTCCATTAGTCACAATAGACAAGTATCTCAATACCTATGTATCAGTTTGTTTAGTTACACAACTATTATTATTACTCTTCAACAGAAAATTAATTATTTTAGTTAGCAGTTAATTGAGGTTATATTTTGGTTATAAATTTAGTTGGTTGGCCGATTACCCAAAAAATTTAGTTCAAATTTAGTCCCAATTTTAGTCCAACGCTAAATAATTTTATTCCAAATAAAATAAAAAGTGAACACAAACCGGAAATCCCGGATATCCGCGCTTCCCCGTCGCACCCTGCAACAGATAACGGAACAATCTAATTTCGCTCGCTTTTCCATTAATATTTCCTTTCGTCCGCAAAGACTGCGTCCATTCTTCCCACGTCAACACTGATGCAAAGTAAAAAAAGTAAATTTCCTAACTTATCAAAAACTTCTCCGATTTTTTCTCTTTTTCCCTATTCCCATTTTGGTTCGAAAAACAAACAAATTGAACGCTCGTTCCGTTCTATATTCACCATTTATCTTCCGCTATTTGCACGTCTTAAATATATTTCCATTTAATTTCGCTCAATTTTCGTTTCACAGGTCTTTATTTCTCGCTCGAGACGAATTAATTTCGAATTTACGAATTCACATTCCGATTATCAGTCGTTTTAAAAAGTTGTTAGTCGTGTGCCTTTAAAAAGCTCTTAAATGTTGTACTACTTGCCAGTATTTGTGCTTAAAAGTTGCGCAGTTATCTAAACGCGTTAAAGAAAAAGTTTTACTTTTAATATTGTTAAGACTTTTAATTATTTTATTATTTAGTTGTTTTAGCGGAATTATTCGGTCAGTTTCGGACGATTGTCCTTTTAGTACTTGTCGACTCATCTTACCATATGGCCTATCTCGCCCTTTTGACCTTTTCCTCCCTGAAAATCAACTCCGCAATATAAACTTTTATCTTTAATTCTAAAACTTTTTTGCAAGTAGTATTTTTGTTTATGAAATTATATAAATGAAGAAGGCGATAAAGTAGCTTTTAGAGGAAATTATAAAAAATGAAATAAATACCGGAAACCCGTTCTTTCCAGCTGAGCCCGCAGAGCCCTGAGTAGATAATAAAACAAATCATAATTAAAAACTTACAACAAAACATAAAAATTCATAGCTGTGTGATAAAAACATTTAAAAATACTTACAGGAGGTCCTGCTTCACCATTATCACCCTTTTTGCCTTTCCTGCCTCGTTTGCCTGGAGGTCCTGGGGGTCCTGGAGGTCCTGGCGGCCCTAAAACCAAAAATACGTTCTTTAACCACAATATTCAAAGCAAATTAATTGTTTTTTGTCTGTTTGATCATTTATTCCTTGTTAGGTTTTCGATCCCTAAGGAATTTTTATCTATCAAGACCTCCTTCTAAACGTTTTCGTACGTTGTCAGTTTGTATATCCGTGTGTATCCAGTATAGGTTTCAAAGCGTTCGGCGGCCCCACGAAACGAGTAAATCGTCGAAGTTAATTGCGTTTGAAAATCGACCACCCTCTCGAGCGGTGGTTTAGTCGAGGGAGCGTATCGCGTCGAAGGGGAAATCCGCATCGTATCCACAACGAAAACGCCACGTAAACGCGAAACCCTGCTCGGGATGAAAGGAAATAGTCCCACAGATGCCCCGAACGAAGGAAGGGTCCTCGTCCATCGTCCGAAGGACACGACGGAAGGACGCATAACGAGTACTTGTCCGTTTCAATGAGCATAAATGCATCATTCGTCGCAGAGAGCGTTTCGGGACAAACGAGCGCCGCCGACGCCCATCTAACTCGATAAACGTTGATGTTGATACAATTGCGCGTTTATTTAAGGCTAGGGTGCATGACAACGCAGAGGGTGACTGACTGACGACCAGAGAGGAAATGTAAATGCAAACGCACTGTTTGACATGCAGCTCGGGACGCATAGCGCTAACGAAGAGAGGACTCAATTTCGGTTTCGAATTTCCGAATGACTTCCACGCTTCAAAACCAAACTGACGTTTATACAAATCAATAGTGAGTTATTCTATAATACTCCTCGAAAAGTAAACACACATTTAATTATTCGATAATATTTTGCGAATAATAAAGCAATTTGTAGTAAACTCAACTCAATGGCAGACAAGACGTTTCAAACACATAAAACTGCAATGGTAAAGACAAAAGAAATAACATGTGTTTTATTTATTGGAAGTAAAGTGTGCAGTCGCAAACACGGTTTTCAGAACGTAAATTGCTAGAAAACGCTCGAGAACGTCTGAGAACAGGCGGTTGGGTAACCAGCGACAGCGTGAGGGAAACGAGAAAATATTATTTTCCAAATGGAAAGAGATTATATCGAGTGTGTGTGAAGAAAGAGAAAAGCATTCGCTTCGCAAGATATTCGGGAAGAGAAAAAATGCATTAGAGTATTACATTTTGAATTTGTCTTTTTGATCTTTGGTAAAATAAGAACTAAATGAACTAAAAATAATAAACAGAATAGGTAATGAACAATCGCTGAACAAATGTGAAAAGTTTAAATTCCGTGACAATCATTTGGAATCATTGAGCACGTTTAAGACCTCTGTGATCGTTAAAACCGCAATTTGTTCCAAACCCTACCCAGACATTCTCATCAAAACATGCACCCTGTGGATATCAACCCTTTCACTCTCTATTTCTATCTCGGGTTTTCTAACTCTGAGTAAAGCCTGCAGGACACGTGCGATAAAAGGGATATAAATTTCTTTGAAACCAATCCCAAAGACAAAAAAAATAGTTGAAATTATTAGTTTAAAACGTCTAAGTTTTACTCAAATTCTAGAACCAATAGAGGAACAAATTCTGTTGGTCTATTCCAAAGTCGCCCTCTAAATTGCTTTGGGTCGCATTTTAAACACCGGCGTCTTGTGCCCAAGGCGCAGACGTAATTATCGCTCATTTAAATTTAAATTCGCGCAATGTTAGCAGGACCACAATGGTCACAGCGCTCGTTTAAAACATTTGTTTCCTGCACCCTCGTTAAAGTTGTTACGCCGAGAACATTTAACCAGAATTGTTGATCTCATGTATTTGACGCTGATAATCTTAATAAATTAATTGAATGAACAAAATCTTAAAGAAAAAATTCAAACGCTTACTTTTGTTCTTCCCTATTCAAGCTATGAGTATACACATTCAAAGAGTCCATTGTACCATCAATAACCTCAACTCTTTAATAAAATATCTAGAGCATGAAGTTGATTTATCCCTGCTCGTATTATCGACTTCACCGCATTGGAAAACTCCGGCATTATTCCAATTCTTTATTTCCTTTTTACCCGAAACTGGTTTGGAGTAATCGTTAACGTATTTCACTTGCATTGTTTTCGCAAATGCGCGCCTGATGAATGGTCCAATTCAAGCCGAAATCGATTTCAACGTACAATTCGTTTTTTCTACCGATTATAACCAGCTCAATACCACACACAAAATAACCAGTCCCTCTCATACTCGTATGACTACCCGGGCATAGCGAGAACATGCATTCGAAGAGAATTAAAGGCAATTAGTTTTCAATTCGGCGCCACATCCAGCCCGCTGCAAACACGCCCAATATCCGTTTTTTGTTCCATTCGAGCTTCAATTGTGACAATCAGTACCGTACGAGTTTGGGTTTCGGATTGTGTAGGTTGTACAATGATAGAGGAGTGAATATTCATAACTTGGATTTAAATGACTGTGAATGACTTAATTCGCGACCATTTCACGTTCACGAATCATCGCTTGAGTGCATGATAAATGTTTCACTTTGTATTATAACCCTCCAATTGTAGGCGATTCATTTTGTATCAAAGCAACGTATTTAGTTACCTGAATGAGTCATTAATTTTCATTTGGAAGATGTAAATTAATCATAAAACATTATTCGAATAATTTGTTTACAAGCAAATGAGCAACGAGCAAAATTTTAGTGTTTCATAAAAAAATTCAATTTAAACTCTACGACAATGTCAATCTAAGTGATTTTTTTTTCTTAACCAGAGTTATAGTCATTCAAATTTAACACAACTCTCAAATTCTAAATTGTTAACAAGGTAACAGCTGCCTTGTCTACACCAATGTCTAGACATCAAGAATATATGTTTCCCAAACGAATCTCGCCTGTAAAAAGATTCTCGAGGGCTTGAGTGTTTAATAAATAATGTTCACGTGCACCCTATATACTACAATCACCCTCGCACGCGTCCAACTCATTCGACACACGTTTTCCAATCGCTTTTCCAATAACATCCACAGCTTTGCTTCTTTTTTATAGTAATTTAAAAGTTTTACACCTCTTTTACTGCTCAAGTTCTTACAAGTTGAGGGATGAGAAGAGTGCATGTGAGTACGAATGCGAGCCAAGCGAGGTCAGGCGATAAATTCGCACCTCGATCAGTAAATTTGAGTTTAAACGGTGCCGAAATCGGAACGCATAAAAGAGTCCAAGTCGAATCGTTCCGCGGCGTTGACTTTTGCACTTCTTCTTTATTGTCTCCCGAATGACACGACAAACCGACCACCAGACGTGGAGCACCAAGAGCTTATCTGCACTTTCTGCGGTTTCTTCAAGACAAGTTTTGCGTTTCACTAGCAGACCGCAACGAAATAAAAAAAATGGAAAGCGTCAATTTCACAACACTTATCGTCGCTTAAGTCAAGTCAAACGTTCAGCAAACTAAACTTTTAACCAGCGTTAAATTACGAGCTCATGGTAAAGTTTGTAAAGTTTAATGACACGTGCAGTAATCTAACCTAACTGGGAGTAAAAATGTGATTTATAAAAAAATAAATATACTTTTTCATGTTATCATAGAAAATGCAGACGCGGCAACATTCCTGGCAGTGAAATGACACAAACCTAACAATGCCGTCCAAAACTCCGTCACATTTCTTTAACAAATATTTAAGTCTGTTTTTTGGTGGAAGCGCGCACTGCGTATACAAACTCACCCCAAATGCACAAGGTAGAAGAATGAAGAAGCACGCGAAGACGACCCCAGAGCATTATTTTCCGTTGCGGATTGCGGACGTAATAATAACTTTATTTCGCATTTTTCCGGCCGCGCGTTTTTCCCCGCCAAGACTTTATTACCCTTGTTGTTGCAGAGTCCATAAATAATTTAAAATTCCCTTTTACTTTGCGCCCCAAGAGCAGAACGCAAACGAGGTTTTTGCTGGATTTTGCCCCGCTGCGCATTTCGGAATTTATCTCTTTATCTTTTTATTCGTTCGAATCATTTGCATTTTGCATTTTGAGTGAATTATGAATTAGAAGTGCGCATCAACACAATACAAGTCACAACAAGAAAAGATTAAATATTAGAAATTAAAACAAAAACACAAATATTATGCATAATTCAGTAGGGGAGTACCATCCGAGATCACGAACTCAAGATACAAATAAAATTGAGATTGAGATGCACACAAGATATGCATATATTTTCTTAACAAGTCATGTTCCTTCTTCCTGAAGGAGCGTATAGCTTCTGCTATCGTGAGTAAACAAACAGTCGCATTCGCTAACGTTTTCGAACGTTTCGTCATCGTCTCGGAATGACGTCGGAGTATTTCGCACATATTTTCGATCTTCATAACAACGTTAAGAACGCTTCCTTTGCTCAGTGAATGTTTGAATAAATTCCGCATGGGTAATAAATGTAAACGTCTGCGTGGCGCTTATGTTCTCATTAACTTCCAAGACGTGTACATCGTGAATTTGTTGTGAAAATAGAAAGAGCAAACGAGTTACAAGTCCTGGAAGTCATCATTCAAGAGAATGTATTTGCAGCGGTAATAAAAACCTAGGCAACTTAAGTTGAAGTACTGATCAATCAAAACAAAGAATAACAATCAATGAAAAAGGACTGTTGTAAAACAAGAATACGTTTTGTAAACACATTTACTTACTCGAAAACAATGCAAATGTAAATAATAGTTATTGCACTTTCAAGTAGGATTACAGAGTCGTATTCAATTGCAGATTTACTTATTTTTCTAATACATTTCTGGTGCCTTTGTAGTGATAAAAATCACAATTGGTAGTCTTAGAATTATAATAACAGTGTTGAGCTTTAAAACCACAGTAATCATCTTGCATCGCGCGCTATCCTGACATGATAACCGCCATTTTCGTAGCGTGCCCTGTACTTAAGACAGTACTTAGCTCCGCACACGGCTTCAATTTTTTCATGTATTGTAAACACAGAACACGTATGGCGGTCGCTTTAACGAACGCATGGCATTACTCGAGGTAA